ATTATAAACAATACACACATTCTTAGGATCTGGCACATGCACATATACATAGATACATGCAGTACAGCACATTTGTAAACACACATACAGACAGATCTGGCTGTGCCCTCCATGTATAAAAACTGTTGTGCATAGATTAAAATCCCATGGTCTCACATATGTACAAACACAGCAGGACTGTGAACATACAATTGATTTAATGAGCATTCTCCAGAGCAGAGTGTTTCCCAACAGGGTCCACGCACACTGTAGCCCTGTGGTCATAATGTTACAGAATGATGTTGGATTATAACAGTCACTCTTTTCTTTGGAAAATGGGAAACCTGTAAAGCCTGAAAAAATACCCTGTTGGCAAAAACATGACATTATTGCAAATCAAGCATATATGAACATTTGCAGCTAGACATTAATATGTGACAGTAACAACTGTGTGAAAAAGAGACATGTTCCTAATATTGAACAGAAGGTCTCTGTACAGTTTACTCAGTAACCCTTTACACAAAAGTACTCTGCTTTATGATAGTAGTCATATAAGGGGGGTGTATAGGCTTAATAGTTGTATGTTCTGTATTTTTTTAAAATTGGCCCACTAGTAAACTCATATATGTTTTGAAAATGTTATAATTAATTAATATGTGCAGACCCACATTTTCTGACTGATAACCAGTACATAAACCTACAATAAAACCAAAAAATATTTTTAAAAAGGGGTGCAATTTTTTTTTTTTTTTTTTTTTTTTTTACAGGAAAAGTGTATCAAATGTGTCAAAGTACAGCTGAGAATGAAGGAAATGTCATTATTTTGTGGGTATTTCCTCATAAAGCAAAGTAATGGACAAATTAGAAAATTAAAAAAACATGAACTTAAAATGTGGTGCCTAGCATCAAAATCTAACATTTGAGGAGTTGGTTTTAAATTAATCAGTTTGATGGAAAGCAGCTGTATACTGTTAATGATTTTTTATAACAATAGCATATTAAATGACAATGGGAAAAAGTGTGACAATGTGAAATGTGTTGCTTGAAGCTATAGAGAATAATTACCCATATTAGCTTCTCTCCACTGGAAAATCCAGATTAGAATTTAAAATCCTTCTGCTTACATACAAAGCCCTTAATGACAACGCTCCATCATATCTTAAAGACCTCATAGCACCTTATCATCCCCGCAGAGCACTTTGCCTTGGATACATGCACAGACATGTACACATGTATAGAATGAAAGTGCAGTCAAAATTCTGTCTAGTTTATCACCTGCTACATGTTTGGATGCAGGGCTGGCCCAAGACAGTATGGGAACCTAAACAAAATTTGATTTTGGGCCCCTCACTGCTTCTTCACTGAGAAAACTATTAACTGCTGTCAATGCTTGATCAGTTGCACATGAACTGTAAATCTAACACACCCATTATCAATTTTACTAACTGTAGCTGTTTGCTTACATTATATTAATATCAGCCTGGGATATTTTTCACTTCTATGGCTTTTAATATTAAAAGCCAGCAAACTCACAAGAGTGGTGCCAAATGCTAAGGTGGTGTTTTGGAAAATATTAAAATAAACCAGCTGATATAGCATTAATTGTAAATAAGTTAATCACTGTAATTGCTTTTGGTTTAAAAAATGTGAAAGTGCAGAGCAACAGTCAACTACAATTAAAATTAAATAACGTAAACAACTTAAACAGTATGTTTCTCAGTAATGTAATTAGTATTTTTATATTTTTGTAAAGATTTATTTTAACAATTTGGTTTAAGTAATTTAATAAGTTAATAGTGTTAATTGTTAATTCCATAGGCTTATTTTAAAACATATTTTTGATAGAGGAAACTGGAGAACTGTATTCAAAATTAAAAATGCACCTTACATTTCAGTGAATATTTAGATTGGTGGAGTCGTAATAGTCCTTTTTAGAGTGAAGTGATGAGAGAAAGATATATTTTCTGTTGTCCAAAGGTTATTACAGACATTAAGGTATTCATGTGTGCTGGCAGAAGTTGTACCTGTGTTTATTATGCTTCTACCCAAAACCAGAAGTAGTGATAAAGTCAATCTACAAGCTAATACTGGGACAGTAACATCACCCTGAGACTGGGAGCAGGTTTGTGAGCTGTTTAATTTTCGTCAGGGCATTAAGGAGCTTCCTCTTACTTTTCTTCTCCTCATCGTGGCTCCTTGTGATAAAGCTAATGCTAGGATAGCAACTTGGTGTATGTGCTGTTTGTGTAATAAAACATAACCTACTTTTTTCCATCTAGACATCATCAAGACAATAACGAAGGGCAATGATTGGCAATGTGGGCAGGAATTAGCCATGCAAACATTTAATTCAATTCAGTTTTATTTGTATAGTGCCAAATCACAACAAAAGTCATCTCAGGACAGTTTATAAAGTAAGGTCTAAACCTTACTATTATCACGATTATAGAGGAAAACCCATAAATCCCCCTTGAGCAGCACTTGGCAAGAGTGGAGAGGGAAAAACCCCTTTAACAGAAGAAACCTCTGACAGACCCCAGCTTTTGGTGGGCGGCCTTCTGCCTTGACAGGTAGGAGTGAGTGGATAGAGGCGAAAGAAAAGAAAAGAAAAGCAACAAGACACAACAAACGCAACAACAAACAATCAAACACTGGGCAGGTTGATGTGGCCGGTGAGTGCTAATCAGAAACGTAGAGCTCCAGGGCCAGGGCTACCTGCAGAAAGGTACAGGGAGAGAGAGAGGGGACACACTATGGGAGAGAGGAGACACAAAGTTAATGATGTGTAATGGTGGCATATAAAAATAAAATGGAGAGGAGAGGAGGCATCATGGGATGCTCCTCAGCCTAGGCCTATAACTAAGGGATGGTACACCAAACCAAACTTAGTCTAAAATGCCTGTCCAATAATTTCATAGACACCACTACATGGAACACAGTGAAGGCCGTTCTGTTAACTAGAAACAACTGGTATGGTTAAATATACTCAGTAGCAACAAGATGGCCCAGGTCCTCCTCTTTGCTTGCTGTTACCAAGATTGCTTTTCACTCACCCCAACTGGTCAAAGCCGAACACCGCCCACCAGGATCCGGGGTCTGTCAGAGGTTTCTTTTTTAAAGTGACAATTCCTCCCCACTGTCACCAAGTGCTTTCTCAAGGGGGATTTGTTGGGTTTTTTTCTATAATACTAGGTCTAGACCTCACTATGTAAAGTGCCTAGAGGAGATTTTTGTTGTGATTTGGCTTTATACAAATAAAACTGAATTGATATAGTGACTTTCAGCTCACTGATTAGCTGCCAGCCCATAACCTTACTCTCACTGCTCTCATTATTGTTGTCGTCACAGCAGTCATCTTTTTTTTACGGATAAAGCTCTAAAAACTAACTGTGCAGTACATGCTGAGCACCAAACAGCAAACAGACAGTCAAGCATTTAGCTGTAAAGTCCCAGATCTTTCCCTCAGGAGATAGTAGAGCCTGAAAACAGAGCTAGAAGAAAGTGAATACCGGGGTTACATTCACAAACTGCTGGATGTCTAAATAAACAACAGTTTGAGTATCACACTCCTTGAATCCATAAATTGAAATTGAAATATAATTTTAAGTATAACCTTTTAAAATATGAATTAATTTCTCAACATCTCACTACATATTTAACATTTAATTATAACAGAGGTACCTGATCTTGCTTGTGCAGTGTGTAGCTCGTAGCATGTGGTGGTGACTGAGGTGTCAGGTCAAAGAGTCACCATTTCTGTGGGATGTCTGAGGACACTGTGCTGCCTACTTAGACCCAGCTGTCAAAACACATACACACAAAGACATATGCACTCCAAGACAACCAGGTGTCTTTGTATGAATGAGCATAGTGTATCCCAGCACACACACACACTGTCACACTAATTCAGCATATAAACACAGCTCTGGCAGGTGAGGCTAACAACATGGATAGTGTTATCAGTATGGTGCTTGTATGCAGCGAGGCTTCCAGAGGGGGCGCTGTCCCTGCTGAAGTAACAAGCTACTAGGTAGACCTATCACAGCTGTCAGCAAATTGCTTGTGAGATTGTGTGTGTGTGTCTGACTCATTTTGTGAAGCAGTCAGAGTACTATATACGTATATGATTGTGTTGACTCAGTGAGATTGGCGGCCTGGTCCCGAGGGAGCTGTGGCTTAGCCGATGCCGGTGCACTGTTGAAGCTAAACACACCTAATTGAGGAGGACACTTACAGGCTCTCCTCTGTGTGTGTGCTGGAGAGAGAGGAGAAACTTAGACAGACAAGAAAGTATGGGATGAGGAGAACACAGCAGTCTTGCAGTAGTAATTAACATGGGATTATATTTCAGTGGCTTTCTGCCCCTTTGTTGACAATTTACTGCTGTCAAGTAGTCAAATGAATTGTATGTATTCACTGTTTCACATTATTCTTAATGGCATTTGAATGTCATGTTATACAGTATCTGCATGGTGCTTCTCTGTAGCTCAGATTTAACACAATGCATTTACACATTTCAGCTCACTGTGTGTATGTGTACCTACAGACTGAATATACAGTATTGTATTTCAATAAAGGGGAAATTCACTCAAATTTCAAAAACATGGTGTATCAAATTAATTTTAACTCAAAGGACCACTTATTGTACAATTTTTAGGACTTTCAATCATAGTCTTCAACTCCAGAAATGCAAGTAAGTAGATCCTGCAGTTAAAAAATATTTTATGCTACTTCTTAATTGTTCAAAAATGAACTTCCAAGCTCAGTTTCAAAAACATATTCTCTCACATACCCCTTGAGCTGTTTAGTAATGCATATATAGTATTATAAAGATGAAGAGAAATATTGAGATTTGCCTCCTCTTAAATATAAATGAGCAGAATTTATTGCTTTGAGATGCTACAGTGCTACATGCTGCAACTTGACTGCAGTCATTGTTGAGTCCTATTCTGTTGGTCTGTTAATGTTGTTAGATTAGTTCTTTTTCATGCTTGAGACATCCTTTCTAAAGCAAGCATATAAAGAGTAACAAAAATACATGTGTAGCTTTGGTCTTGGGCTGGGTTCAGGACCTGTCCTAATGCTAAAACTCTTAAATGCAATCAAGCGGCAAACTCCAGAGGTGAGAAATTAAGCCAAATAGCCAAAGTGCCAAAACTTGCAGTTTCTCTAGTGGTCACTTGAGGCTGGCTCCAAAAGGGAGTCAATCCCCATAGACTCCCATGTTAAAATGCCAAAACAAAGATGTTTATAGCCTGATACAAAAATCGGTTTTGGTCTCTTTACCTAATTACCCCTTCCATGACAACTATAAGGCGGTGAATTTTTATATAATTTGCCCGTTTAAATCATAGAGGCTAAAGGTTATCCATACTTAAGGGCGTGGCTGCTTTCAGTGACAGGCAGAAGGGTCCCACCACAGGTGGCTATCAGCTAGCTGTCTAACGAGCTCCGCTCACGCTCTGCCTTTTTGCCCATTTTTGGATTAGCCAAAGCAAGTGCAGTGGGGCACTACCAAGATGATGATGACCAGCAGACTTAAGCTTCAAAACTGCTCTTCAGAAAACCAGTGGC